TTTTTTCTAGTTTGAATGACATTAGGTTGACGAATAAGCGTCTTTTCAGAAAAGATTGATTCAAATTCGACTATACCAATCAGAATCTAGAATGTAAACAAATGCTAAAAAATCGTTATTTTCATGGTTTTTCAGCGCTATTTTCACTTATTTTTGTTATTTAACGCTATTTAGACGAATAGGCAAGTTTTCCGAAGCATAAAATTGAAGATTTCCCGCCAAAATAGAAACTTCCCGATAACATCGGAATCATTTTAAAATATTCGATATCTAAACCAGAAAGTGTTAAAAATAGACTTATTTATAGAACAATCCCCCATTTCTCACCTCAGGGAAAGTCATAAAACAGTTGGGTGCTAATGACTTTGTGAAAGGGAAAAAGTTCTAAACTTAGAAACTTCGAAAGAAGGGCTATACCGTCCTCAAACGCATAAACTGCAGGTTGTGCACCCCTGGTTTATGGAATGAGACTCACAGTTGTATACATGGGGTGATCTAGGTTTTTTGGGGCCTAGGACTTATTGAAGTCCAATGGGGCCCCATTTTTTGTTAATGCAAATAATACTATAAATTATCATTATTAATATTAACTATTTTTTACTATACGATAAGTGCTCATTGTTAATGAAAAAGTATTAAAAATTTATGATAATTCAATTTTTGTTGGCTCTTGACACTTGAGGACCCAGGGCTTAAGCCCTATTAGTCTCTATGTAGATCCACTCCTGTGTAGACATAACATTTTTTACACTAGTTAATTTCTGTTCTCTGAATTTTTGTAAGTGCTGAACTTTTTATTTAAAAAACTGATATTATTATGGGACCTAAGAAGAGTGGAATGTCAAGAACTGTGTTTAGTATAGAAACTAAGCAAGAGATAATAGCCAAGTAGAGAGTGGGCAGATGTCTGATATTGTAGGCAGATGCTTCAACAGGTCTACAGTAGATAAATCTTAGCTAAGAAAGATATAATCAAAAAGTCTTGTGCTGATAAAGGAGTAATGAAAATTGCATCTGAGAAACAAACATGTGCCATCCGTGAAAAAATGAAGAGATTGTTTTTAGTTTGTTATTACATGTAAATAAACATAGTAAGAAAGTATATAATTATTTGTTTTTGTGGATTCCAGAACGAATTAACCAAATTCCCACGAAAATCTATGATAAATTGATAATTGGTTAATTAACCCACTACTCTCCCCCGCTGGGGAATTTCGAAAACTTTCTTATTAGGGTGCATTCTCATGGTGTACCTTACTATAACTCAGTTAAAAATAAAAAATCACATCTAAAATAGTACAGTAGAAGCTGAGTTCTTAAGGATAGGCTTATTCCTCTTCCTCTCCCCTGCAGGAGAGAATTTCGAAAAATCCCTACTTCAGACAAAAAATTAACACACATAAACTGGAAAGATATACTACACACAACAATTAACACCTCAATACTACTTCCAGCAGTCAAAAGATTTTAATATTCTAATGTTTTCGGCCGTCTTTTAGAGGCCCTCTTCAGGATGAAACATTAAAAAACAGTTCTATCTTTTGAAGGATTCTAATAATCGAATACAGCTGTGTTCCGAACTTTTAAATATTTAAACGATGCGTACGATATAAAAATCGTTATGCTTACAAGAAGAAAAATTATTATTTTAAAATAACGCTATACATAAATTATTATTGTATAAATTATTAAATTATATTAATATTAAAATCTTTTGACTGCTGGAAGTAGTATTGAGGTGTTAATTGTTGTATGTAAATCCCTACTTAGTGTACAGTACACTCTTGTGACATATCCTAACTGTGTACCAAATTTCAGCTTTCAGCTCCTAACCATTTGGGCTCTGCACTGATTATTATCATCATCATCATCATTATCAGTCCATCTCGATTATATTATAAGATACTATCTGACGAGCAATTATTTATTGTGACATCTAAACAAAACTGGATTGCAATTTTTAATCATATTTTTAATTTAATTTAAAATATATGCTCTCCACCTCATTAGTAGTGGTTTGCCCCTGTATATCATATTTTCTTGCTAGCAATAGAGTAGTGTCAGGGCTGTTTCACACTATGACCGAGTGGACCAACTGGTCCTATTCCAAGTCATGTTGCCATGGCAACAGCAGTCGGCCGACTGACTGGTTGTTCCATTCGGACAGATTTAAAAAGTTAAATATTTGTAGTCGGGTCGGAGCAGTCAATGAGCTACAGCCAATGACAGCTTTGAAACTACAGCCAATCAGACTTTGGATATATGAAAACTATCAAATCAATCAAACATAACTTTACATTATATATATTTCAAATTTATTTAAATTTTCCCTTGTACCTTATTTCTTTCATAACTGCTTAAATTTTATATGGAAACACAAATGATTTTAATATATATATTAAAAAACATTATTGACATAATGAGAAAAGATGGTATTATTTAGACTTTTCGGAAGAATTTATAAACAAAGTAAGATAATTTCTGCAAAGTTTAACCAGATAGATTACAAAAATATTTTTAAAAATTAGAAAAACTTAAAATGATTTTTAACACTCGTTCCAATTGGTCCTTACGAATCGGCCACTGACATATAATCGTACTCAATGTGAATACAGTAGAGCGTCAATTTTCCGAAAGTCAATCATCCGAAACGTCAATCATCTGAAAGAATTCCAGTCGGCAAATTTAAATTTTCGCCAGTGCTGTGGCGCTTCAATCTTTGGCTATATCTTGGGCTACTCCAATAT